AAAAAAAACCCAGACCTGGTCCCATGCCCCAGAGATTTGGGATGCAGCAGCCCTGGAAGGACGGGGAGAAGAGAAGAGCAAGAGCAAGAGAAAAACAGCATTTCAGCCAGAGCCCCTCATTTATTTTCATTTAAAAATAAAAATAAAACAAAACCATTTTGGACAGAGCCCCCACTGACCACGGTCTGCATCCAGCGCCAGACTGGAAGGCGAGATGAAAGGAGAGGTCCCCTTTGAGCTTGACACGGTGCTTCATGAACCCCCAGCGCCATCTGTGTCCTGAAAGGCGAAGCAAACACCAAGGGGCCCGCCGATGGAACAGTCTGGCCAGGTGAGCGTTTGGGAGGTTTGTAACCTGCAGAGGAGTCCCAGGACCGGCCCCCACAAAGGGGTCGGCAAACTCTCCACACCCAGGTGAGGTGATGCTGGTGGCCCTCTGTGCTCAGAGGCCTGGTCCCCCTGTCTGGAGGAGCTCGATTCCCAGCCTGAGGTGGAGGCCGTGCTCTGCTCAGCCCTTGCCCAGGCTCACCCAGGCTTACCCAGGCTTGAGGACCACTGTGGCTCTCGTGACAGGGGCTCCTCAGGCAGGAAACACTGCTGGAATGGAATTGCTGAGTAAAGCTTTTTTAATGTTTTGAGATAGAGTCTTGCTCTGTCATCCAGGCTGGAGTGCAGTGGTGCAATCACAGCACACTGGCCTCGACCTCCTGGCTCAAGCAATCTTCCCACCTCAACCTCCCAAGTTGCTGGGACTACACCACACCTGGCTAACTTTTTACTTTATTTTTGCAGAGATGAGGTCTCACTATGAATTTTATTATTTTGACAGCTGATAATATTTATGCACAGAAACAACCTTCCAGGTAAATACTGTATTTTTATTGTCCCCATTCTGCAGGAAAGGAAACTGAGACCCAGAGAGGTAGTGACTTGCCACGGTTACCCTGCTTGTGCTCGGTATTGGTTGGGATGAGGACCACGGCGCCCTGATCCTGACTCCGAGGCTGCTGTCTCCTTTGCTGTTACATATTCAGCCACCCCCGCTGCCTTGTGTCACAAAGCCCCAGGCAGAGGACAGCTGTGCTCTCTCCCGGCTGCAACTGGTCAGTGTCCCCAGATGCCTTACGCTCTGGCTGCAAGACCAGGGGCCAGTCACCTGGAGCGACCCCAGCCCACCCTCTCAGGGACCTAAAGCAGGTCACCCACCTGGCCGTCGCTCATGGAAGCCGCAGCTGTGCAGGAAGCTGTGAGCAGCGGCACCCCTGCCCTCACTTTCATTCTCCTACGAGCCTCTTGACCCACCCAGCCCTACCCCCAGGCATTTTAGCCACCTCCTAGATGAAGCACAGGGTCTCTGGCTTTGGGAAGAAAACCAGACTTTCTGGAACTGGGTGTCGGGCAGATGCCCCGGCATGCTGGGTGATGGCTGCAAAGCCTCAGAGGGCAGAGCCAGGAGGTGCAGCGATGGCTCCTTCCAGCTGCAGCAGGTGACTCGGGCCAAGACTGCTCACATCCCTCCTTGCTTCGAATTCAGTGGGGGGTGATCACACCACTGCACTGCAGCCTGGGTAATAGAGTTTGACCTTATCTCAAAAAATTAAAAAATAATAAGGCTGAGGCGGAGCATGCGAGCGGGTGAGGGGCAGAAGCCTCTGGGAAGGCAATGAGCACGTGGAGAGCTCAGAGCAGAACCTGCCTGGAAGAGCTGCATGGGTTTCATCTCCAGGTACCTGCGGGCTCCCATCCCCACCTCCTTTAGGGCTCTCTACACAGGCCCCCCAGTGACACCTCAGACATCTGCTTCAAAACCGCCACCGTCTCTTCTGCTTTTTCTCCCAAGCACTTTTCTCCATCTGTCCTACTTTTTAGTTTATCTTCTCAGCAAGGTCAAACCCTGCCCACCTCTCTGCAGAGTCTTCATGGGCCCCGAAGACCCCACTCCAAGCTCCAGACCTATTGGGCCATTTGGGGTGGGTTACCCTGGTGACCACCAAACCAGGGCTTCTCAAACGTGAGCACGCAGAGGATCACCTAGGGATCTTGTTAAATGCAGAAATTAACTCAGCAGAGCAGGATAGCCTGAGAATCGGCATTGGTGATGGCTCCCAGCTGGTGCTGTGGATGCTAGCCAGGATTCAGGCTCTAGAATTTAGCCTGACGGTCAGTGTTCTTTCCAGTTTCTTTCTCTCTCTCCACTCCCTCTCTCCTTTTGCTCACTGTCTGTTGCTGTCTTTCCCTTCCTCTCTCCTTCACGCCATCTCTTCCTGTCACCTCTGCCTGCTCCCCACCTCTTCCTTCCCTTTCCCCACCCCACCCCTCCCAGAGCTACCCCAGGAGTTAATTGGCACCCATCCTGGAATTGCCCCATCCTGCTGAGCTAGAAGGCCAAAACCCCTGATTCTAGGGCCTTCCAGGGAAGGGACCTGGCACCTTATTTGCAGAGGCAAAACCAACTAGGACAGGAGACCCCTGAATTTAGCAAGTTGGAGCTGGACTCATCACACTCCCTTCTTAATAATCACACAATGATTCCTATTAACAGCCATCAAAGGCAATTACTCCTGTGAAGGAGCAAAGGCTCCAACAAGCCTTTTTCTCACCTTGTAGCAAAGACCTTCCACCTGCAGCCTGGCCCTGCCCCACCTTCTGAGGGCAGATCTCACTGACTTGCCTTTTTCATCCAGCACCGGCTCCTTGCCTGTCCTTTCCCATCGGGATGGGCTGGGCCCCTGGAGGGGTCTTCACAGTCCTTTCCTCCATTGCACTGCACTTCGTGGGGGACATTTGGCGGAGGCACGGGGAATCATGGAGAATCCGTCTGCCCTGCAGGAAAAACAGGTGCCTATGTTTACAAGCATGCATATATGTACTAACAGTGGACAAATGCAAATGACCAAAAGTACCAGTTCCGTCAAACAGAATACCTAGATGGCGGTGAAATCTAACAGTGGGTCCAGGACGAAACTAAGAGCCTATGCTGAGTCTTTCTCTCTGCTGCCCCTCTTCTGGGCATTTTAGAAGTAGTCATTTAATGTCACAACATTGAATGCAAGGGAGGTGAGACAAGCAAGAACCCTCCTAAGGGCCTGTGACCCCCAACAGGAAATAAAGGAAAATGCTGAGTTCTTTCAAGGGCAAGTTCAGACCCCTGGCTAGCCCTGAGAAGTAAATAAGCAACTTGATAAACAAGAGGGTAATGGGAGCCTAAAACAATAACCAAGTACGCTAAAATCAGGAGATGTTTGGTTCCCCTGTAGAAACTAAGGATGATCCAGCCTAGGCAACAGAGCAAGACCACATCTCTTAAAAAAAAAAAAAAAAAATTAGGCTGGGTGCAGTGGCTCACACCTATAATCCCAGCACTTTGGGAGGCCGAGGCAGGTGGATCACCTGAGGTCAGGAGTTCAAGACCAACCTGACCAACATGGAGAAACCCTGTCTCTACTAAAAATACAAAATTAGCCAGGCATGGTGGGACATGCCTGTAATCCCAGCTACTCAGGAGGCTGAAGCAGGAGAATCGCTTGAGCCTGGGAGGTGGATGTTGCAGTGAGCTGAGATCACACCATTGCACTCCAGCCTGGGCAACAAGAGCAAAACTCCGTCTCATAAATAAATAAATATTTAATTAGCTGGGCAGGGCGGTACACACCTGTGGTTCCAGCTACTCTAGAGGCCGAGACAGGAGGATCACTTGAATCCAGGAGGTCAAGGCTGCAGTGAGTTGTGATTCTGCCACTACACTTCAATCTCGGCAACAGAGCAAGATTCTGTCTCATTTAAAAAAAAAAAAAAAAAAGTAAGGAAAGGTAAGAGAGAGAAACTAATGATGGCATTTTCTTTTTTTAAGAGACAGGCTGGAGTACAGTGGTGCAATCTCAGCTCACTGCAACCTCGGCCTCCCAAGTTCCAGTGATTCTCCTGCCTCAGCCTCCGGAGTAGCTGGAACATAGGTGCACCTGGCTAATTTTTGTATTTTTAGTAGAGATAGGGTTTTACCATGTTGGCCAGGCTGGTCTTGAACTCCTGACCTCAGGTGATCTGCCCACCTCAGCCACCCAAAGTGCTGGGATTACAGGCATGAGCCACCACACCAGCGAAGTATAACATCTTAACACATATCTCTGAATTATTTTTCAGAAACTGGGACCTCAGATAAGCGAAAACCAAGGACTGAACTCTGATTGCTGTCATTCGTTCTAACTTTCTTCCTGCAGGGCCTGGAGGAGGTACCGCCCATGAGCCAGAACTAACATTGTTTTCTGCTGATCCCAAATTTTTAGACAAAGCTTTGCATCCTTAACCAATCACAATTCAGAAAATCTTTGAATTCACCTATGACTTGTTGGCTCCACTTCAAGATCCAACCTATAACCTCCAGGCATTGATGTGTGCTTTTGTCAATAACTTCTGCTTTCCTGAAATTTACCTCTGCCTTTGAAAAGCCCTACCTATGAGCCAGACGCAGTGGCTGACGCCTCTAATCCCAGCACTTTGGGAGGCCAACGTGGGTGGATCACCCAATGACAGGAGTTCCAGACCAGCCTGGCCAACATGGTGAAATTCTGTCTCTACTAAAAATACAAAAATTAGCCAGGCATGGTGGTGCATGCCTGGAATCCCAGCTACTTGGGAGGCTGAGACAGGAGAATCGCTTGAACCCGGGAGGCAGAGGTTGCAGTGAGCTGAGATTGCGCCACGGCACTCCAGTGGTGACAAGAGCAAAACTCTGTCTCAAAAAAAAAAAAAAAAAATCCTACCTGTAAGCCATCTGGGAGGTCAGGATTTGGATACTTGCTGCCTGATTCTCCTTGCTCGGTGCAAGGAAAAACCAAATGAACACCTTCTTTTCTATCAGTGCAGAACCTCAGTGTAGTATCTGGTCATACTGTACCAGGAAGCCAGATACCAGTTTGGTCTATAACAGAGGGGCAACGATTATACCCATTTCCCAGCTAAAGAAATCAAAGCTTAAATATTACCTAATTTTTGCCCCATATTAAGTCTCACTGCACAGCAACTAATTTTTAAACACATTTTAGTGTTTGATTTTTTTTCTTTAGTTATGAACCATGAGAAGTAACACAAAAGCTTCTAGAAATTAATGTAAGAGAATTATCTTCATGACTTTGGTTTAGGCAAAGATTTCATAAAGAAGACACAGAAAGTGTAAGCTTCCCAGACTCAAGAAAAAGCAGTGATATTTATTTTATTTATGAATTTATGAGACAGAGTCTTGTTCTGTTGCCCAGGCTGGAGTGCAGTGGCACAATCTCAGCTCACTGCAACCTCCGTCTCCCAGGTTCAAATGATTCTCGTGCCTCAGCCTCCTGAGTAGCTGTGAATACAGGCAGGCACCATCACGCCCAGCTAACTTTTTTATTTTTTGTAGGGACGGGATTTCACCATGTTGGACAGGCTGGTCTCAAACTCCTGACCACAAGTGATCCATCTGCCTCGGCCTCCCAAAGTGCTGGGATTACAGGCATGAGCCACCATGCCTGGCCCAGTGATATTTACCTATCTACTCCTGCGCTATTCTACCTTGATACAGAGAAAAGCAGGAGGGCGACACACCGGCACTTTCTCAGCATAGACAATCCCACCTTGCATTTCAGTCTGGGCCTGCATCTAGAGAAGAGGAGGTTCTAAGCTCATGGAGCAGGGAGCCCATCACCACGGCAGGCACAAACAAGGACTGCTGATCTGGGCCAATAGGCACCAGGGAGGCCCCTTGGCCATGGCAGCCCCCTTTCCCCAGCCCTGGCTGGAGTCAATCAAGCCAGTTGTTTCCCTGCAGTCCCTACCCCTGCTTGTGTCTTGGCAGCAGGGCAGGCAAAGAATCAGGATTTCCTAGAGAGGTCAGCAAATAGGAGGAAAGGCCAGGGCTGCTGCACCCCCCCACCCACATTGCTCTGTGGTTTGCAAATGCCTTTGCCTACACTCTCATTTTATCCTCACACAAGCCTGGTGGAGAGCTAGTGACCCCCCAACACCCCATGGTACTGAAATGACTTGCTGAGGCCACACTCCTGCGAATGCCGCCTGGAAGGCTGTTCCTGTGCCTCGCACTGCCGCCCACCCTGGGGCACTTCAATCCCAGCTGCCAGGAGGCATCAGCACATGGCTTACATAATTCAGTGTGGGCAAATAGATGGACCTGGTAAGGGTAGAAGGTGGACAGTGGAAGAGATGTGTTAACAGGCAAGGTGCAGTTGATGGGGATCCTGGCATAAGGGTGGGGGGACCTGGCTGAGGCAGGAGACAGGGTAGAAGTTTGGGCCATCATCACCATGGAATTTGAAGGACGTGTGGCCAGACACCCTCAGGAGCCTCAGCTCCCACTGTAGCAGGAGTGGCTGCCTCTTTGCAGGGCCATACCACAGTGCCCATTTGGCTCCAGGGAAGGGTATGAGGATGTCTCAGGGGCTTGTAGGGGAAGCCCAGGCCAGAGAGTGGATCTGAGGCTACTGCCCCAAGCCACAGCCTCATCCCCAGAAACACCCAGGTCTCAGGCAAGGGAAGGCAGCAATACCTGGCGATGAGGCTGTAGAGGTTTTTTCTTGTTTGTTTTTTTGAGATGGAGTCTGGTTCTGTCGCCCAGGCTGGAGTGCAGTGGCAGGATCTCAGCTGACTGCAACCTCCACCTCCTGGGTTCAAGTGATTCTCCTGCCTCTGCCTCTCAAGTGGCTACAGGCACCCACCACCATGCCCGGCTAATTTTTGTATTTTTAGTAGAGATGGGGTTTCATCATATTGGCCAGGCTGGTCTCGAACTCCTGACCTTTTGATCCAAGGCTGCAGTTTTTATGACTCCTTGGAGGAAATAAGGGCTAGGCTCAGAAACAAGGCAAAGGATGAGTTGAGGAAACCGCGGCAGCTCTGTGACTCCCGCCTGGGGAGTGTTCAGGCTACAGCCATGAGCTGTGAATGGGCCTGGCCACCTGGCCCAGGGACGAGCCTGGATTCGCTCAGGCTCAGAGATTGAGGCTGGCACTTCCGTCAAAGGCCCTTCACAAGTTCATCCATGCCTGGAAACACCTGCAAGGGGGCACTGACCTGCACTCAGACAAAGCTGGGTTCAAATCCCAGCTTCACCACTACACAGATGAGATCTTGGGCACATGATTTCCCTTCTCTGAGCCTCATTTACCCCCCAAATGAAATGGTGGGAATACTCCAACTTAATCCATGAGATTAAACGGGGTGATATATTGACAGATCTGTTTCTCAGATCCACAACTGAACTGTAGTTTAACTTAATTTCTGTTGCAAGCCCCCTTTTCACTGGAGAGTAGAAACTTCCAGAAGGGTCCCCATCCTCTCAATTCTCTCTGGGTTTGCTTCTAAATCTCATGTGGTACTAAGGCCTGAGAAGGAATGGGCAGTGATGAGCCCCAGCTGTTCTCTGTCCAGCTGACATCTGAGAGATCCTCATGCTGTCTGGTCATTGGGTCCCATATGTCCCTGCTACATTCACCCCTCCACACACGCCAAGGCCCTTCAAGTGACCTGTGCTCACCCTGACAAGGGCCTTCCACCTTGTTGCTAATGACATTTGAGGCCAGGTAATTCTTTGCCATGGGGCACTGTCCTGTCCAGTGTGGGATGTTCAGCAGGCTTCCTACCCTCACCCGCTACACGCCAGTAACAACACACACCCCCATGCCAGCTGTGACAACCAAAGATGTCCCCCGACATTGCCAAGTGTCCTCTGAGAGGCAAAACTGTCCCCAGTTGAGAACCACATCCCCAGGCTACTTGGCAGCTCCTGCTCCCCATCTAGCCTCGGTTCAGGGGTCCTGACTCCCACCCACCCAGCC